CCAGCTACAGCGGCTGCCGCGGCCACCGCGGCTGCCTTGACTGAACTGAGCGGATGGCAGGCGGGGTGCGCGCCAGGCTGAGGCAGCGCGCGCTTGCGGCTACCGCCGTTAAACATGGCCTTCACGTCCTCCCAGGCAAAGACTAGCTCGTCCTGGGGGCTCTTGTCAGTGAGCTTGAGATGACGGCGCCACGAATTGAAGTTGGCGGCGTCCGGCTGCGTGTACTTGGCGTCCGGCGTGCGGTGGGAGTGGAAGATGAACTTGTTGGGCGAGAAGTACATGTTACAGTAGCTGCATTTGATGCACTTGGCGCGGGAGCTGTTGTAGCGCGCGGGGATGAAGCTGCCACGGCAGCCCCAGGCGCACTCGTGCGACACGTCAAAAGCAAAGTTGTCGGGTAGTTTGGGCGGCCTGTTTTCGCCCAGGAACGACTTGCACAAGCGCTCAGCCTCACGCTTAGTGATCATACCGCAGCGGCGCGACGAGATGGGCATGGCCCCGGCACGCCTCAGGATCTCCAGCTGCACCGGTGTGCACTGCACGCACGTGATGCCCAGCGCCACGCGGCGATTGTGGATCTCGTTGTAGCTGAAGTTCTTGAGGAGCGTGTTGGAGATCTGAGCCAGGCACAGGCGCTCCTGCCCGTCTATCACCAACGACACGATGGGGATGCCGTAGAGGACCACCTGGCCCACCTGGTTGGGCTTGAGGTTGGCGTGACCAGGACGCGGCTGGCTCAGCGCGTCGGGCTGGAAGGCGCTCGACGGCGATGCCAACAAGATGTCGTTGGGCCCCGGCAGCGGACTGGAAGCCATCTCCTCCGCCGCGGACACCCGGGCCAAGCCCTCCGGGTCTGCCTTGGAGACTGGAAAGGAAAGGAGAAAACGTTGACTCGAGCCTCTCCACTCTAAAACCGAGCGGGTTAAGTCATTAACTGAAGAATCACCATAACTTCCTTGCTCTGGTTAAGACATGATTATCTCTGGGCGGAGGGACACATTTCAGACATAAGGAAGCATCTCTTTTCATTTTCTTCACGGTTGCCTCTGGCCATACAGGGATTTTGGAAGTACCTTTCTCCTGTTCTAAATATCCAAAGTAAATTATATGTTTTTAAAAAATCAGTCAATTCCTAAGAAACTCAAGTTGTGTCCTTGATTTATAAAAGCTTTTGAAATAAAATGGCTAGAAATGAGGAAGGATCAAAGTTGTAACTAGTAGAGATTCTAGAAGTTATGGAAAACGGAGACCTGGCCTTTGAAATCCAATTTTAAGACAGACAATTCACATTTATCCTGAAAATAGATTGATTTCGGTTAAAAAAACCGAAATCTTTTAAAACGTGATTTTTGTGGTACCTGTGGTTTCCTAGGGGGAAATTTACTACTGATTGAGATACAGCTCATTAAAGCAAAACGAAATCTTTCCCTCCCCACCTCTGCCATTAGATATTTTGATACTATAATTAGAATATTTAGGGGAAAGATGAAAAATGTACAAAACCAATATACATGGCTGCACCATAATAGAATGTTTCACTTTCACTTTAAAAAATATTGGCGGAACTGAAGCATTCTGATTTCTGATAAGCAGCTTATGAAGGAAGATGAAGTTTAGACTTGAAGTCAATTAAAAATTTTTTGGTCATCTCCATACTGAACAAGTAAGTGCAGGCAAGTAGCTAACCCAGAAACAGTGCTTTGAAAATGACAATTTTGGGGGATAGTTTTTTGGTTGGCTTTAAAAGGCAAATATAGTTGTAAGGTGAATCAATTTCCGTGAATTTCTTTTTCTGATCCATGCAGACAGCTCTATATCTCTACTGGGGAGAAGTGCCCCACAGAGTAAATAATTCATGGGCTAGGTAATCTGTGGGAACATTGAAAGTCCAAGCCCCCAGTTGGGCCTGGGGGGGGGAATCCCTATCATCTCCCCATCAACGTGATACCCTAATGGGGGAAAATATCCAGTACATTGAAAATATAGGGTAAAACAAGGGAAAAGAACCATTATGATAAAGCTGCTAGGTCAAAACAAGCAGAATGGCTTATTCCCTAGGAAATCAAGCTTCAACCTCTCCACAGCTGCAAGTCCAGCACAGCAGTTAAGACTATCCCTTGCCCTGGAAAACCAGTGGTGTCCAGTAGAATTACCACTTTCGGTCAAGTACACTGGAGTTTGTTCATACAGCGATCTCAGAGTATATACCACACGACACACTTCACCCAGACTGTCACATTCTTGCCTTCTCTGGACAACATCTATCCCCAAGCCGTACCTCCCCCTTGGATCCTCAGATCTCATTAGGTTGGCGGGCTCCAGAAGGGATGAACACATCTTGAAGCGATCAACAAGATAGGCTGGATTGTCACTTTGCATGGATCAGAGATAGTATTTCCAGGGGACAGGGCGCTAAGTGGCAGTTCAAGACACAGTAATACCTGGGTCTGGCACAAACATCCCCCGCTTTGCCAAATGAGCCTTCAATGCTCATGTCCCTCCCAAACAAATTTCTTATTATCTTAAGATCATAATATAGCAGGAACTCGCTCCCAAGCCCAGACGCGCTCGGAGGCCCTGGCCCATTTATGCGAGAGACCTGCAGCCTTAGCAGCAGTAGGCTGGGCCCCAGTGTCTCCTTCTGGTTGTCCTCCACTTTCAACCCAAGCCCACCCAGAGACGCTTGTCGGAACAGACATACGAATAAGAGGGGTTAAGTTCTTGTTTTTAAGGGAGCGTGGGGGGAGAAGGGACAATTAAAAGTTAACGGAACTACAAAAGCAAGCTGGCGAACTTCCCTATCTGACTCGCTAGCCAGCGATCCCCAACTTAACTTCCTTGCTTCCAAAGCAATCAACAACGAGGCCAGCTGTGGTCTTCAATCTAACCCAGAAAGTCCCACCGCAGGAGATCTCAAATGCTGAACCGAGAACTGTGTGCCCCGGCTGGGCAGGCGGGTTCCGGCAGTACCTGGTAACCCCTAGGTGTCTTTACACGCGTGGCTGCGGGCCCATCTTCCGAGGGCTTTCGGAGGCGAAGCATCCAAGCGGGTCCTCGAATCCAGCGGGCGGGACTCTGTAGGGCTCCGCGTGAAGATACTGGCGCTCCACTGCGCTAATGGCGTTCGAGCCCGGCGGCGGGATTATGAAGGCCTGAATTGCGGCGGGGCGTCCCCTCCACCACAGAAAGTGTGGGCGCGCAGAAACCCGCGGCAGGCGAGCCCCAGGTGGAGAGCAGTCTGACAGCTCCTTTCTCTGTCTCTGAACTCGTGTCGGACCGAGGGGACGCCACCCAGCGGGCAAGGTGACGTCACCGTCTCCCTGACACTCCACATTAAAGGGCTGGCATGTTACTGGGAGGGAGGGGGAGAGTGAAAGCGAGAGCTAGCAACACCAAGATCCTTTCTCAGCAGGCACGAAAGCTAACACCTAATCAACCCGCAACTGCCAACAATCTCCCCAAACCTGGAGCAAACGCAGCGACGGTGCTAGAGCTGCAGATCTCCTGTAAAAGTGGATCGCGGAACAATTTCAGTGCATCTCGGGGACTTGGATACTGGCGGTCTCGGATACTAGGAGGAAACCTCTAAATGAACTGTATCCCCGCGCGTTATTGTACCCGTTCCTCTATTCTCTGAGCCATCCTGCTTCGTGAATGTTCCCTCTGGTACAGGGTGCAAACCAGTGGCTTTCTGTGTCTCAGAAGAGCTAGAAACCACTGTCAGCCCAGAGAATAGAATAGTTTCAGCGACTCGCTGGAAACACTGTTAGATGAGAAAAAAGGGGAGAAGTTTCTGCATAGGTGTGCAGTCTAAAAACTTGGAAGGAAGCATGTTCCCACTTTCAAATCGACATCTGCTTTTTTAGGGCAAGATATCCAGAGTTGTTGCTGCAATCTCTATTTTAGAAAGTGCAGCGTGAAGTGAGGACCCCGGTGAGTGTAAACATGCCCTCATCTATCAACTTTGTTCAGGATAGTTCTCTAATCAAGTGTAGAAGACCCATGCAGGCCACCTCAACGTAAGGAAAAGGTGAGACAGGGAAGCAAGGAAGTCCCTAATCCTGACCCATCCTTGAGCAATTCCCCCAGACCCATCCTTGAGCAATTCCCCCAGAGGAAGTAAAATGTTTAGGGTACCATACAGGAGTGTGCCCTTAAAAAACACTACCATAAGAAAGAACCTTCCCCAGAGTAAGCCACCTGAGCAAAGAGAGAAGTGTCAGTATAGTGCCTCCTAACTGACCAGCTGTTAAAAGTGAATGGATCACTCTAAGGTTATCAGAAAAGGGAGGAACAATTCATTTAGAGGACATTGCAACAAGAATAACCTCAGGGGTGGGGCTGGGGCATCCTTTAAATTTTTCCTTTATTGTCATAGCTAAATTTTCTGTTGCTGCCTAGGGAAACACGGAGGGTTAGAGTTGAGCAATTACATTGTGGAAATGATCTAATAACCTCCACTAACCCAGAAACCCAGCCAGACTTTCGTCATACATACTGTTAGGAACAAACCACCACTAAATGCGATAGTGAAAATATAAAATCTTAATAGTTCATTCAATGTTAGTGAAAACAAGGAGACAAGTGAACAGAAATGCAAAGGGTTCATTGCTCAGGATGTTTGGCTGTTTTCAATCAAAAACACTACTTCAGAGTCATAACAAACCTGTATGTTTAGGTATAGGTTTCAAGTGACAGTGAAATAATTTTTCATTTACCTCCCAGTTTCTAAAGATACCAGCAACACTAGATTAGGCTTCATCCTAAGGGGCTGAAGTCAAAGTAGTGCCTTTCCCTAACAGCGCTTTCTCCCCACAGCCTGCCATCCTAAAGAGGAGGACTCACACTTTATGCCAGCCCAGCCCTTTTGCCAAGAGTGCCATTGTTATTCATAAATTCCTTTCCTGAGAAGGCTGAATGCCTTGCCCTCTCTCTTCCTGAGGCTTTAGGGTCAGCTCTGGTTCATCCTACCTTCCCTGCTTCCTCTTGGGTCAGTGGCTCCCACACAGTGAGGTTCTGGCTTGCTTACTGTTCCTAGAGCCAGAGCTGCTAGAAAGAAAGCCTGTTAAAAAGAAAGCCTTGAAATGGGCTTGGTGTTAATATTGGAAAAGGGGAGAAATGACTGAAAGTCCTATCAATTTCTTAATAAAACACAGGTAAGTGTCAGATCACTGCCTGGGAGGAGGCACTCTGGGGTCTTCTCTTTTTATAGCCCAGTTCCTATCTTTATACCCTTTTACAGATCTCTTCTTTTTAAATAAGTTATCTTCAGAAGTTTCTCTATTTGAAAGAGAAATGGGTTGAATTTTTGCATTTCCCCCATCCCAGATGATTATAAAGAGGCTGGTGGTAACTGTCACCACCTCCTTACCTGACATAAACATTTATACATTACATGGGGGATAATGTTTGTTTGCCATATAAACCTGTAAATATATTTTAATGCAAAAAAAAACTTTCAATGGATAGAGAAATGTGTGATGTTATGTTAAATGCTTTGTGCAAATACTTCCAGGAATAGTGCAATACTTTATTTTCCCAGTGAGTCTGGGGGTCTATTTGAGATGTCCATTTATCTTTTTGGAAGATGAAGGCAGAGAATAGTTGCTCAAAGCATGACTCCTTGCTTCAGAGGTTCCTCACCTCAAGTCTGGAATTGCACTGCAGAAATAAGAGTATTTTATATGGTTGGAGACTGTGAGCAACTTTCTGCCACCCACTATTATTCTGACTCTTGATTTCCTCCTCAGTGTGAACAAGTCTCTTGATGCTCCTCCACTCCCAGTCCATTCCATTTTTCTCTCCCAGACCAGGGGCGCCAGATTCTTGTCAATCCTTGTCTTGGCCCCTGAGACCCCGGTAGGC